AGCGTTCGCTCCACTCGATATCAAGAAGTCGCCTAAACACTGGGGAAAAAATCGATGCGGTATACAGGAGAGCAGGTAAGGGTAAAAAGGCAACATTCGAACATCGTCACACAGAACCGGCAAGAGAAGCTGCGTCCAAAAATTCGCAGAGCGCACCCACATCTGGATGCGGGAAAGCAATCCTAAGGAAAGCGTTCGCTACAACGTCGAATTGCCACGGCTAGGGGGCATTCACTACAGCGAGGAGGGGCATATTAGAGAGGAACATGCTGTCCTTGACAGTGTGTATCAACAAGAAGGTAATGAGGGTTGATTACGAAGGAGCACGAGAGGCCATCTTTGCCGGAGGGAAGAGGTTTGCGCTTGAAGGTCCCAATAAAGGGAACCTGACGCTAAGATCAGTTTGACTTGTTTTGTTCTGTTGTGTTTTTGTGCGAACCATGTCGAGTTCTGCTAAGATCAGTGTTCCCTGAGAGAGGAGCGTCAGCAGCTTGGTGATATTGCCTCGTTGGTCAGTTGGGAAGAGCCTCAGTGGCTCAGAGGAGAGAGCCTTTCTGACTAATTTCCATTCGCTCCCTTTATTGAATTTGCTCACCTAATAAACCTCGTTTCCTACTGGTTTCAGACGCAGTGGGTTGATCATACGTCGCAGAACACGAATTCACTATCTTATCATACTGCCGTGCTTAGCACGACAACGGTTCTTACATTGGCAATAGACAAGATAAACCGAAGTAACGGAGTTGATCCACTGACCACGCCGAAAATCCCCTTCACCGTAGAAGCTGTCAAAACTTTACGACTATCCCTCTAAACCCACGTGCATTACGTAATTGTGCGACTCTTTCATAAAAGCCTTGCCACAATGAAATTGGCCATGGAAAAGCGTAGTGATTTTCAATACACACACGAAACATGTGTTTATCAATGAACAAAGAAAAACCACATTATAATACATTATTACTTCATCAAAGTGCAGGAACTGTAGGTACAATATTGAAATCTGATGGGTATAAAAGTTCAGGAAAGGATAGGTTGTCATATTTCACGTCGAGCTTTCCTTCGATCTGCAAGTATGAAGGTCATCGCATTGTTTATTGTGCTATGTCTAGCGCAATCCATCACAGGATGTTGGCGTGCCCAGACCCTCACTTTTGGGAAATTCAAAAACATTGGCCTTCTAACATTTGCATACAAATATATGGGGGATATGGTTGTGGATTGGTTCCAACGAAAATTCGTAAGTTAACTAAGCAACGGTTCTCCACATTGTGATGTTCACATTGAAGAAAAATTTCTGCAGGACAAAAACGATCCATTCGGCAATTATAAGGTTCTCTCATATAAGGATGGAGGCCGATTCGAATTCGTTCATTACCCTTTCTTCGTTCTGCAATACGATGAGGTGCGTATCATATTACATAATACATGCTATCAAATTACACTACAGGCGGTGTCTTCAAAGTGTTCCTATCAATTATATGATCACATATTACAGAGGAGGGAAATTTACAAACCATACTACTTTGAATACATAGAGGAGGAGGACAAGACAACAAAGAAGTTCACTCGCAAAATAGGTCCGTTGACCGAAGAGGAATTCACAACTAAATATAACCATTGCAAAAGTGGTGATAATGGTCGTCTTGAACAAAACTTTGTCCACTTCGATGAAAATAAATTTCGCAGTTGTGATATTGTGTAACCTTTGACTACCAACATTAAACGTGTGTTGTGCCAGAATTAGGCAAACATTTTTGGGACAGAACTGGCTTTTACAGAGCGGTGTGTGCACGAGTAGAACCTTCATGAATTTTGTCGTGAATATGTGCAACACCTCAAAGGCAGCGGTCGCGATAAATTCCAGTATTCACACAAGGGAAGATGCACAGTTAAAAAGGGTGGATGCCCAAGGATACGATAGGTGACGCTATCGCAGCAGAAGCGCGTGGTTGATGTGTTTTCAACAAGAGTCGGTGGAAGTCAGCAAGGTAGGATGGAAACAGCTATTCACACGACTTCGTCGAGGCCACTTCAAGTCCACTGTCGCGCCTACTTATACGGTGATGTATGGACTGTAGGTGAGCACCCTCGTTTTCGAGATTGGGTCAAAACCTCAGATTTGGCTTTGAAGTTGCGCTCAGGGGTAGTTTGACCCAATGAGTGCGAAGAGGTTATGGTTAGCAATAAAGTGCCTGCAGCATTCTCTATGGGACAAGGAAGATCTCAATACCTCGCATGAAGAAAACTCTTATTAGCAAGATTCCAGAAAAAAGGGAGTATGTGTAAGGTTTATGACTAGGATTAAGTAAATCGGAAGGCATATTCGAGATCGGCGCCCAAAAAACATCGATTGGTAAACGTTCCACTCCACTTTTTTTCCTGTTCCCCTTCCCTTGTTATTTGATGGTTTCACGAAACCGGTGTACTGGTGATCGGATACTAGCATCGAAATTCATCACTATCTTTCTCTGAACGGATTATGGTGCGATTTAATTGCAGAGGATTTTCAATGAGAGCTGACAAACACGTTCACATTTGATATTGTTATGAAAAAGTCCCGTGCTTCGACGACT